CCCCGCCTCGCCTCCCCTCTGGTGGCCATCACTTTGTTCTCTATAGTTAAGAGTCTGTTTCTTGGTTTCTCTCTCTCTTTGTCCTTTGCTTGTCTGTGTCTTAAATTCCACTTATGAGTGAAGTCGTATGGTATGTGTCTTTCTCTGACTGACTTATTTCACTTAGCATAATATACTCTAGCTCCATCCATGTCGTTACAAATGGTCAATGCATATTCTTGAAGAAGAACAAACAAATAAACATTGCCTATTGCCATATAAATAGAGACCAGTACTGCTTAATTTGGTGCTCTGATATGATCATTGTAAGTCACGTGTATTCCTGATTAAAGGCAGTCTTTAACTAAACAGCTATTTGGCCCATTCATTTCTTTAGCTCTAGTTACTGACTCATGTCTTTCCTCTACGTACTTAATGCAGTTTTATTATACTTCTAAAATGAAAACAATTCCATTTACCAAAGACCTGTGATCAAATCAAAACCCATTAAAGACACAATTAACTTTGAAAATGGAAGGGTAGGCAGAAGTCACATTCACAAATTGGCTCTTTCTTTCCCTGAGTGTGGGCATTCAGTGTACCTTGTCGCCGGGCCACCTATACTAAGAAAACTCCGCTTCATCCTTGTAACCCTGCGTGGCCTTCTAAGACTGCTGAATGTCCATTTGCTAGTGGACTCTCTTCACCACTGTAGTCATAAAGACCGGTTCTGTTGCCTTTTAAGGGAATAAACAGGCTAGACCACTAAGACTAGAAAGTGTATTTCCATTTTGCCCTATTTTGATCAGCTCTGAACAGCAAATATTACCCGGGGAAAGGCCCGAGTTGGTCTGAACTGCTTGATTGTGATTTCATCCCGCGACACCTCGGTTTCCCCTGGCCCTGGCCCTGGCCCTGTGGCTCAGTGTCTAAATCAAGTGAGTGCTCACCTCGATTCCTTGAATGCTAACGAAGGACTCCTGTATTTCAAGGCAGGGGCTCATTTGTGTAATTTATTCCTGTGCAGCATCAGAACCATGATGCATGCTTTCTTCTTTCTTAACCTTTTTTAGATTTAATTCAAACAGCAACAACCAGTGTTAAGGAGGGCGCTCCTTTTGATGCATCATCTTTGGATTTGTTTCTCAGTATGGTGGAGTGAAATTTCCTTATTCCTGCCAGGTGTTGAGAGGCGCGTCAGAGGAGGGGGAAGTCACGCTTCCCGTGGAGTTTATAATCAACTAATTCTCATCTTGAAGACTAGAGTTGAAGTATCCATCTCCTTCAAGGACTTAGCAATAAAAGCAACTTCTTCAAAGCCGTTTATCACTTGCTGACTCCCCCTGCAGCTTCTCGACAGCCTGTGTGCAGCCCTTACTTATGTGGTTACATTTGCGGAGTTACGCCTCTGACTTGGCTGGGCTGTCGTCTGACGCTTAGTCTTGCGGTAATTATGGATGGCATATTTGCGGCATATTTATTCCTTTCCTCATCACTTGGATTCACACTGATTTTGTTTAGTCAACAATCTGACAGATAACCCTTGGTATTTTTTTTCTTTCAATTGTACCTGGGCTTATCGCTCTGTCACAGAGCACCTTAGGAACTCAGAGCAAGAGTTTTGTATTTCTCTTGACTGAGGTCCGCTTTTCGACGATGTGGCCAAATGTCCAGATAAGGGTCTTCCTTCAAAGCTGTTGTGAATTCTGAATTCTGCAGGTAGCAGAGGGAGGGCTGGTGGATATCACTTAAAACCCTGCCACAGCCTGTTTGTTGTCAATCTCCTCAGAGTTCACTCTCCCAGCCTGGGTTAAGTCTGCATGGCTCCCTAGCAGGTTCTGTCTCCTATAGATTCTGATAACCCCCTTTAATCATCTTTTAAGGATGGATTTTTGCTACATGTCAGGTATTAAAAGACAAACAAAGGAAACAAACACAGGATTAAACTCATAGTTGATAGAAAATTCGGTGTTCATGTGATGAGGGTACATTTGGACAAAGTGGATTATATTCTTGGTTATATCTACTTTCTTTTGTTGTTCTTGCTTCTGTTATTTGGTTTTGTTACGGAGCCCCCCCTTGCCAACGTCATTAAAATACACTCTTTTATCATGGACAAAAGATTCAGCTTCATGATATAGTCTGTTTAACTGGTGCTGGAGGAATTATGATGTTCCTTCGCTGTAGGCGCTCCTTTTATACTGGGGTCATTTGTAAACTCCATTACTGTGGCTGCTTCTTTGGCTTGCTCCTGGGACAGGAAAAAGTTGGCATGGCAGCCTTGAGACAGCTATCATTAGAAAGATCTGCTTGCAAGGTTGGCAGTTGGCTGGCCTCTGGGACTGTGACAGGTAAATTGTCTCCTACACTAATATAAACCCTTCCCTAAAGGATAAGGGTGTCTTCTGTACAACTGTGCAGACAACACGGTTTATGCTGACCACCTGCTTTTCTTCTAGGATTCTAGAATTTTGGTATGTGCTAGACGAAGAGTGCCTACATGAGTAGCACAGTATAAACCCTGGGTGCCAGGCTCTAATGAACTTCCCTGGGCAACAGTATCACACATTTATTGCTGCATTTTTGTTGCTGGGGGGAAGAGTGCTCTCTGGGTGACCCCCCATGAGAGAGAGAGAGAGAGAGAATAAGGAATCTTGCACCTGGATTCCTCTAGACTTTGCCTGTTTTTTCCCTTTATGATCGCACTGTTCTGATTAAGATATCCTTACTATATCACTCTAATAAATCTTAGCTGTGAGTACAACTATATTCTATGCCCCGGGAGTCTTTCTAGCAGATCTCTGAATGTGGGGTGGTCTCGGGGACCCCATTAGTTGCTATGAGATTCCAGAAATATCACTTGATGGCATTATCCTCAAAGATGCTGGTCTAATCCCTAACCTTCTTGGTTGCTCATGCAAAACCAGGCATCCTTCAGCTTAGATGGTAATGTTTCCTTAGTTTGTGATTACTCTTTTACTTCCCTAAAGGAGATTGCTCTGCTCTATTAAATTGGATATTTTATGACATACTCTCTAAAGTTAATTTACAGTCAAAATCTGTGTCAATCTAACATCATTGGTAGCTGACAAACTCTAACCATTGGCAAGTGCGATTTAACGTTACATTGTAAAAGAACAGATTTAGAAGAAACTGTAATACTGCTGGAGTTAACCGTATTGACAATTGGGCCCTCAAAACTGTGTCCAGATATTTAACAAACTCTCTGTCACTTTTAGAATTCAGTCTTAACCAGGTATTTTCTGGCAACGTTGAGAATTAAAGGGATCATGCTGACATGATCTTGAATTTTGGTCTTGTTCAAAAACACGTTTTTATTTTTTCTTAAAGATGCTTTAAGGTAGCATCATATGTAGGCATCACAGTTTGAGTGATGCTGCCAGTTGATCAATAGTAATGCTTTTAACTGCTTTTAACAGTAACGTTTCAACTGCTTACTGTAGACAAGGTGCTGAAAATATGCACCAAACAGTGATTCCATAACAGAATAGACAGCTCTGGGTAGCCATGTGGTTCAGATTAACTTTTTAAAGATTAACTTGTTAGGACATAAGAATAATTTTAACTCTGGACATTCCTTGGCTCAGATGACAGGTCTTGCTGTGGTATGAAGCATACCTTTAAAATAAGGTATTTTTTAGAAGTGACAAACTCTCACAGGTCAGTTTCATCTTCCTGGATTGCTTATTTCTCTGGGGTGCAAAAAGTTACTCTATTCCAAGAGTAAGACTCTTTACAAAGGGATAAGTGCTGGTGCCATTTAATAGGATCAGGTCTGTGCTTGTTGCTAATATTAATATTTTATTAGATCCAAGCATGAAGGATGGGAAGCTGGGTTGAAATCTTTCCTGGGGCATAGAGCCAAGCCTACAGAAACTTCTCAATGCTTTCCTTAGTTGAGTACTCGCCAGTCCTTTTGGGGTTTCGAGATCTTGAAAACAAAGTTTTTGAGGGCATTTGGATTCAGATATTTCAAATGAACTCAGAACTATCCTGCCCTGCTAACTAAGGAAGTGTTCAGTCAATTATTAGGTAGTTTAGGAAAGTTGCCCATAATTAAGGTAAGCATAATTGGAGGGGGAAAACTGTTATTTAGAATGTGTGTGTGTGTGTGTGTGTGTGTGTGTGTGTGTGTGTGGTGTGGTGTGTGGGGGTAGGAGATGGAGAGATGAAAGTGAGAGTCTAGATCAACAATTTGAGCTTATTATTCAGGACCACAGTTAGGCCCCATTGTCTTAATATGGACAGGTGTTATCAGCACTGTTCTTCACTGCTCTCTGTCTGTCTGACACTCCTTAAGATTAATTACAGCCCAGCTCAGGGGCTGATGCATCTCATGCAATGACCACCCAGAAGTTTCTTAGTCAAGCTGTCAGTGGTGCCTCAGTGGGCTCCTGAGAAATAATACTATTAAAGACTTCTGAAGGCAGATCTAATGCACTTCCATGCCTTCCTGAAAAGCACAGAGATACACAGCATATGAGTGAATTTTTGGACTATCCCTAAGTACCAAGAAAATGCAACCACTGCGTAAACTGAAGTTTACATTCTAATCTACCCACCTGAAGATTTGTTCCTGCTTTTCTCCTGGTCTCAGTCACACACCATACAGGGCAGTGTGAACATGAGTGATTTTAGGAAATAATTGATAAATTACTGTGAACTCAAATGAACAGAGGACTATTAGTCAAATTGCAAAAGTTCTAATGTATAAGTGGTGGCTGGATCTCCCTGCACACTCAGAGATGCCCTGAAAGGTCCTCTATTTGCTATTTTAAACATCACTTAACCAAGGGAACAAAAGAAAGAGCTCACACACATGTAAATCTTGTGCTTCAATGTACATACGCATATATATATATATATATATATATCTCTATCTATTGATAGCTAAATATATTTAGGTAGAATTGGAGAACTGTATAGTTTTACAAATAAGCAGAGGCATTTACAGTACACAGAAGAAACAGATAAAAGGTGAATCAAAATGTGAAACATACCATACTCCGGGACCTGCCCCGTCCCACGTTTCAGCAGGAGACGGACCCTTCTTCCTCCCGACTTGATGAGTTCTATTGCTCTGGCGTGTGTCATGTCCCTTGTGCTCTCCCCATTGATTTCGATGATTTGATCTCCTACCTGTTAATTAAGGAAGCATTAACTCAGCCAAAGTTGGTTCTACTCACACTGCATTTCCAACAGATTAGAAAAGCATCCTTTAGAGGACCAGTTTCCAGAGAGCATCTGAACAATTTGGTTGCGGTCTGCTCCTTCTTAGAAGTGGCTACTTCCTGGTGGCATCCTGAATCTGACCACCAGACTTGATTTACCTTTACAGGAATTCAAACATCGGACCATAACGTTGGGGTGCTATGTTATTTTTAGTCAGTGTGGCAGAGGATTTAGTCAAACTTTTAGCATTTTTTTAAAATTAGGGAATATGTTTGATACCACAATTCCAAATAAACCTGGTACCTTCGCTTTGAAACAAGAAGTAAATATTTTAAGGCCTTTTCATTGAATACAGTCCCAGCGTTGGGCTTAATGCAGCATTTAATTCAGTATGCTGGATGGGATGATTGGCTTTTGGGCTTCTCTGAGAATTTTTATCATGCATCATTTAAATTTCCCTGAGTGCTATTGTGATATCACCTTCTTTGTAAACATGGCTGGTTGATATTCAAGTTTGATGATGAGTTTTCTATCACAGTCCTTTGAACTAAAAATGAGATCTTCCATTCTCCACACATGACTAATGCCCTTGTTAAATCTTTGCCATGCTCACACCTGATTGCCAGAACTGTTTGGTTAAATACCAATCCCTCTTGAATTGTTAGAAATGCCTGGGCTCCACAAGCGATTCCCATTTAGCCTTTGCGAATAGATATCCGGAATAAAAGAGGTTCAACCATGAACACATCATGTAACTCCCACAGTACCATTACTGTCAGGAAACTTTGAATTAAAATATGTTTCATTTCAGTGCAAGTCACTTAAGATAAATTAGCCAGGAAAAGCACAATGAGTTGCCTTGCAAAAATGCTATTTTAGTTGGGTCCCTTAAAGCAGATCTCAGCCTAAACTCTATAACGCAGACAGAATTGCAAATAAACTATCGCAGAGCATTATCAAGATGGGTGTGGGGCAAGAACAGGAATAAAAAGTGGCCATCACAATGGCGAGATGGCACTAAAATAAGACCACTCCCCACGCTCAAAATGGGGGAAAGAACAAACACGTTTGTTTTAGCAGGGGAGCAACATCTTTATTCATTCATTCATTCATTCGTTCTTATTTTCTTTTAAAGATTTATTTATTTATTTGAGAGGGAGAGAGAATGAGCAAGGGAGGGGCAGAGGGGGAGGAGGGAGAGAATCCCAAGCAGACTCTGCACTGAGCGCGGAGCCTGACGCGGGGCTCCGTCCCCAACCCGTGAGATCATGACCTAAGCTGAAACTCAGAGCTAGACGCTCAACCGACTGAGCCACCCAGGTGCCCCTGTCTCTTTATTTAAAGAGGACTTGCTAGGGATAAGGACTTCAGTGTAAGGAAGGCGAAGACTTTCCCCTCCCCTTTGTGTACAGTGATCTTTGAAAGTATGGATTTTGGGCAGTGGAAGAAGTTTGCCTCACTGGTATGACTTCCACATTTCACACAAGAATCATGAACGACAGGACTAAATTGATTTGTTTTAGAGGCAATGTTTGCAACATTTTTCTTCAGTTCTCCTTAATGGTCTCCTTTCCCATAAGGCAATGGGCACAGCCTGAAGTCGAGCAGCTTACTGGAGGCCACTGTATCCAAGCTAGTGGCAGAGATGGGACCAATTAATGCTTTCCCAGCAGTTCCCACCCATGACTGAAATCTCACGGCACGGTATTAAGTCACAGAAGTAAAACAAAAGTTCCAATTAAGTTATATTAGAGTCTTCATTTTTAGCTAGACTCTCTTCTGAGCTTCATACTCATATATCCACATGATTACTACACATCTTCACCTAGAGGTCCAATGGACAACTCCAACTCAACGCCAGCAGACTGGGCTTACCATCTCTCCCAAAGCCATTTTTCCTCTTAATGCCTAATTTTGATTTATGGTACCACCACTCACTCAAGCCAGAAACCTAAGGGTCATGCTGAGGGTCATTTCCTGAATGTCTCTACATCTGTCTCTGCCCTCATTTGTATCCCATTGCTAACTAGTGCAATTCAGGCCTTTATTGGGTTTCCCAATATTCTCCTGTCACCCTCCCATCAATATCTTTCTTTTCTTTGTCACTAGAGTCATTGTTCTAAGAGAGATCTCCCCAAACGCTTCATGCCCTATTGAAGCATCCAGGGTTTTCCATATGCTCCTGTTCTCTTTGCCTTCTCTTCCCTATATGCCTGATGATCTCCTGATCTTCCTCAAGGCCAGCCCAAGCATCTTCTTCTCTGGGATTCCTTCCTAGACCCCGTCTTCTTCTCAAGCAGACATTTCCAGTCTCTGTATTCATTTGTCATTGCACCCCACTCTGGTATTTATCACACTTTGCTACAGTTACACTTTTCTGTCTTTCCTCCTAGACTTGGAGCTTCTTCACTCATCAAATGATTTCTGAGCACCTATCATGTACTAGAGTGTATACTAGGGAGATAAGATAAAGATAGAGATAAGTGGTACAGTTTCTATCTACAACAAATTCTCAGTCTAAATGGAGATAAAGTGGGTAAATAAAATTATTATTCAATATATCTTTGCTATGACTGGACATTAACAAAGTGCTAAGGGAATAGAAAGGAGGGTCATCTCAGCAATTGCACTACTGGGTATTTACCCCAAAGATACAAATGTGGGGATCCAAAGGGGCACGTGCACCCCAATGTTTACAGCAGCAATGTCTACAATAGCCAAACTATGCAAAGAGCCAAGATGTCCCTCGACAGATGAACGGATAAAGAAGATGTGGTATATATATATATACACACACACACACACAATGTATATATATGCAGCCATCAAAAAAAAGAAATCTTGCCATTTGCAGCAATGTGGATGGAACTAGAGGGTATTATGCTAAGCGAAATAAGTCAGTCAGAGAAAGACAATTATCATATGATATCACTAATATGAGGAATTTGAGAAACAAGATAGAGGATCACAGGGGAAGGGAAGGGAAAAAGGAAACAAGATGAAACCAGAGAAGGAGACAAACCATGAGACTCTTAATCTCAGGAAACAAACTGAGGGTTGCTGGAGTGGAGGGGGGTGGGAGGGATAGAGTGGCTGGGTGATGGACATTGGGGAGGGTATGTACTATGGTGTGAATTGTGTAAGACTGATGAATCACAGAATTTTACCCCTGAAAAAATTAATACATTATATGTTAATTAAAAAAAAGAAAGGAGGGTCATCTAAATCAGAATGGGTGAGCTGGTAGTCAGGGGGAGCTTTCTGGAGGTGGTGACATCTCAACTGAGTTTTGAAGTATCAGTAAGAATTCCCCGGGTGAAGGAGGAAGAAAAGCATTCTAGGCAGAGAGAGCAGCATATGCAAAGACCCTGAGACTTGAGACCATGGTATATTTCGGGAACTGTCAGTTTATTCTGCTACTCAGGAGTTGAAGCTTTATTTATTTTTATTTTTTAAAAAAGATTTTATTTATTTATTTGTTTGAGTTGGGGGAGGAGCAGAGGCAGAGGGAGAGAATCTCAAACAGATTCCATGCTAAGCATGGAGCCTGATGCGGGGTTTGATCTCACGACCCTGAGCTGAAACCAAGAGTTGGACGCTCAACTGAATGAGTCACCTTGGTGACCCCAGGCTTTATTTTAAAGGCAACAGTAAGACACTGAAAATTTTATTCAGCAACCTGACCAGGGAAGCAAAGAGATGTTTAGAAATCTCTCTGAGGCATTATGGAGAGTGGACTGGAGAGGAAGTGGGAGACTGAAGAAGGGAGCTGAAGTCGTGAGGTTATCACGTTGTCTGTCCAAGTGAGAAACTGAGAGGCTGTGAGGAAGGAGATGGTGGGGCAAATGAGGGCAGGGACTGCGTTCCTTTTAATTTCATTTATCTATCTATCTATCATCTAACTATCTATCTACCTATCTATCTATCTATCATCTATCTATCTATCTATCTATCATCTATCTATCTATCTATCTATCTATCTATCTATCTATCTATCTATCTATCTAAGAGAGAGAGAGAGAGAGAGGGAGAGCTAGCAGGGAGGGGCAGAGGGAGAAGAAGAGAGAGAATCCCAAGCAGACTCTCTGCCGGGCATGGAGCCCAACAGGGGGCTCGATCCCACGACCCTGAGATCCTGACCTGAGCTGAAACCAAGAGTCAGACTGTCAGCCGACTGAACCACCCAGGCAGCCCATGGGACTGAGGGGTTCTTTTTAATGATGTATCTTGTATGGCATGCCCGGTACCTATCTGTGAACGAATGAAGCATTTACACATGGCTTATCTTGAGACTCATGGGACGAGGGGTTATAATAGCACTCTTGACCCCAAATCAACCCTTGACAGCCACCATTGCCTGAGGACACTTAGGTCTTGAGACTGACTCTAAAATAGTCATGTAGAGGGCAAAGGAATCTCGTGGTGTCACAGAAGTGGTCACATGTCATCTGCATTCTGGTCACACACTTGGGTATAGCAAGACTTAGAAAATTTGATGTATCATTCTCTTGTGCATTTCTTATGTTCCCTTTCCCCTACTAACAGCTCATGTGAACTGAGGGAAGAAACATTAACAGGGGAGAGAGAGGTGGAGGATTGGAAGGCTGCAGGGCTGGTTGAGAAGCATAGGAGTTCAAGGGCTGCATGTGGGCCACAATGACATCTCCTGGGCAGGAGTTTCAGGGATGGGGCTCTGGGAAGGGTCGGGCTATTATTTTTATTGAGCACCCAGGAGCATGGCCTGACCTCTTGGTGTGGCAGATTTCCACTTTTAGCTTTCGATATAGGGTCTCCTCAGAGGGAGAAGAGAACACCTCTGATGCTGATTGGAGCGAGGATCCTTAGCCTTCATCTAAGACTTCCAGTCCCTTCCAAAGTCCCCTCCCCATGACAGGATACTGGAGGATACTGCCTCATTGGAAGCAATGGAAGTTTGGGAATAGTCCAAGATCTTACCAAATTCAGAA